CATGTAAAATATATAAGTAGGTGGGAAATAAACACATTCATGTTATCGGGGCTCACCACTGTTCCTGGGAACTCCTGCTATCTCTCTCGACTTTTCAGTGCCAAAGTATGGAATGGGATATGTGTGTGTGTGTGTGTGTGTGTGTGTGTCTCCTGTTAAATCCATGTCTATATTACTTTGCCATTTAAAATACAATTTCAAATGTTATCCTTAATTTGAAACCCTGGTATTCTGACAGCAGTTTTCTTCCCAGCTGTAGTGACCCCCCCCCAATTTGGTAAACGACTCAAGTTCCATGAGGACTTTCACTTCTTTATTTATCATCACAGAAGTGAGGTGTTACTTCACATACATACACACACAAAGAATGAAATAAAGAAATGAAACTCGCTAAGCAGACAAAAACAGGCAACTTTCTGCTTAGAAAACAGCCTTCTCCGGTGGGAGAGATGGACTGCCATATCTAAGAGAAAGATTTGCCCCCGAATTTGGTAGATTTGTATCAATCAAGTTTTGTAATTATTAACAGGCATTTGCCAAGTTTTAATTGCTGAATACAATGAATTGGAACTAGATGCGAAAATCGAGCAGAATCTTTCTTTTGAAGAGTTTTATTCCAGCCATATAGTTCTCAATAAAACTTTTCCTAGGCTGTGTAGCAAAAGGCACCTTTGGTTACCTGAATGGACAGGTACAGGGCAAATTATTCGGGGGAGGAATAAAGGAGAGAAAAGGAAGGAAAGAGAGCGGGAGTGCGGGAGAAATCAAAGAAGTCACCCTTGGGAAAAGCTTGCCATAAAGGAGCTAAACCCACCTGAAATTCCTACCCACAGACACTCCTTCTCACTTCAGACTCACATCCCCACTTAAAAGGATAAAATCATAAAAGAGGGGTGGAGGATGACCATACCAAAAAGGAACAAAAAGAGAGAAAAGGGAGAAAAAAAAACCTACCTGCGAAGTCTTGTTTGTAGTTTTGGCCAGAAATGGTGAGAAGAAAAAGCATGAAGAAGCCGCGAAGTGTGGGGGAGAAAAAGGTGGAAGCGAAGAAACAGCTCCCGGAGCAAACTGTACAAAACCTCGCCAAGAGTGTCGGGAGACAGGACCGTTATTCCTGCGGAGCAGGTTAGAACTGATCTCTTTTCGGCCACTCCAGGAAACACAAACCTGGGGACGGACTGACGTGTTACGCCTCTTCTAATGACATTTTTTTCTTTTTCTTTTCTGTAAGAGAGACCCTGAAACACGCGCCACCTATCTTTGTGGGGAGGGATAATTGAAGCGCCCTGAGCGTGAGCATCATGTGAAAACGTGATCGCCAAGTTTCTCTCTGGGAAAGGATCTGGGATAGATTATACCTTGAAGTCTCCGCAAACGCTTTAGTGGAAGAAATGAAATTCCACCTCCCTCCCTTCCTCTCTCCCTCCCTCTCGCCTCCCTCCTTTCTCCACGCCCCCCCCCCCCCCCCCCGTCAAGCCTTTGGCATCATTATCCTCATCACTAAATCCTACAGAGAACTGGGCGGAAAACGGTGCACACCATTCACAGAACTGGAGAACTCTAAGGGGCGAAAGTTAAAGGGAAAGATCCCAGGTCCTCAATCCAGATCGCCTCTTCTTGCACAAATATCTCTAATGACCAGATTTGCGATGCACGTTAAGTTGTGTGGATTTCTTAGCACGGCTTCTGGAACTAAATTCTTTGCCCTTTCTCTTAATTTTCTTCTTTTTTTTTTTTCCTTTTAGATGCCAAAGCCAGAAAAAAAAAAAATGCTGCATGTGAACTGCATCTTAGGGCGTGTGTGTTGGGGGATGTGTGTGATGAATTTCTGGATTGGATCCCAAAACTGAAAAGTAGTTTGGCATTTTTAAAAAGGGTCTCTAAGTAAATTAACATAAAGCGCTGGGTTGACCGATCTCTGAATCTCTCTACATCTCACGGAGACCTCACTACAAAGTGAGGGACTGTGTGTGTAGGGAGGCAGAAGGAAAAGGAGAAAGGCCATAGAGAAACTTAGCAGGGAAGGAAGAGCATGATATTAAACGGCATGGGGTCTAAGTTTTGGAGTGTATATTTTTTGATGTTGCAATTAAAGTAAAATTAAAAAGAAAAGACTCCACCTTTGCTCTGAAGGGATTGGTTATGTAAATATGGAAGGGATTTCCTGGAGAATACAGCTTTCTACTGTATGGTTAATTAAATAATCACTCAAAAGCTTCCAACGTGACGCTTCTGTCGTAATCCAATCAGGTTACATAGGTCCTAAACAAGAAAGATATTTTCCACATCTGGAAGTCAGCAATTTAGCAAGTACTGCACATTATTAACCAATTCAGAGCCCACTTCCCAGGGGAATTTTTTTTGAAGTTTAAGTGTTCTTAACCAATGCTCTGCTGTTTTGTTAATCAAAAAGCTGGTTTACACTGCACATAATTGGAACTAATATAGAAGTAAATAAAGACAGCCAAATTTGAGGATGCTGAACACAGGCATTTATCGGAAAAGGAAGAAATCTCTTAGCCTCCAATGGTTCAGGCTCAATTTCTTAAAAGACTGTGAGGCTTTCTTTTTTTTTTTAAAGAGTGAAAGTGCTTGAGAACCTCAGAGCACAAATAAACTTCCAGTCCCACAGCCTTTGGGCTCCCTTGCAAAGGTAAAGGTGGAGGTGTCAAGAGAACTGAAGAACAGCCTCACGCCAATTTTTCTTCTTTAGTATTGTTAATATGTTACAGCCCTCTGTTTTCAGTCTGATGAAATCTGAAACAAATAATACCCTGATCCAACACTAGACTTTTACTTATATTAAGATAAACTGCTTTGAACTGTGCTTTGAATGTGTGCCTAAAGCAAGACTTTGAATGCAAGAGTCACTGGCAATTGCACTCAGAGGAGGGACAAGCCACCACGTGGATTGCCATATCCCCACTCCCAGAGGTGCAGGTCTTTGTATTTTGTATGTTTATTTTTTGAGGGGGAGCAATAGCCACCCAGTATGACCACAGCCAGTTCTTACTTTAAGATGCAAGAAAGTAAATTTTCACAGTTGGTTACAAACTCATCTCTTTCCTAACTGGAGTATTTATTACAGTGAGAATAGCTGGATAAATTAATATTCTCCCCCACCACATCAGAGATAAATTACCTATAGAAGAGGAGCATTCGAGATGGTCAGTGGAAAAATTAATAATAAAAAAGAAATTATAGATTTCCAACATGGGTCAGACATAGTCTCAATTTTATGTTTTACATTTCTTTTAATATTATATATCTATACTAAATATATGTATGACTTATCAAGTTCCTCCTCTGAGATTTATCTCCATTATTAATATCCTTTTTTCTTCTTCTTCCCACTTCTTCTTCCTTTTTTATTAAAAAAAATTGAAGTCCAGCTTTCTATAGAAGTTTGCTTTTCAGTGTCCCCTCTCCCATTCCTGAGGAAGAAGGAGCCCATTGCATGGAGTGATTCCAGGCAAGACTCCACTCCAGGAGCCCAGACGCACATTCACAGGCAAAACCTCAGGTCAAAGGATCCAATCTAAAGGCTAACAAATCACTTGTCTTTATTATGTATATTAATGTCAGGTTACTTAGGATCTGACACACAAAAAAAAGACTTTTAAGTATTTCCTTTAAAAACACCTAATCATCTGATTACTCTGGGCTCAGTAATTGTTCAAGTGGCAGGAGGCAGCCCCAACACTTAGCACTGGGAGTTCCGACATTCAAGTATTTGATTTGGGGTAAAAAGGCAATCTTTCAGGTTCCCATCAAAGTGGATATTTGGACGGTGGCACGAGAAAGGTCCCCGCAAATCGTGAGCGCGCCGGTAGGTTGCCCCCCGCTCTTGCCTGGCACGCTCCTGGCACTCCTCTCCCCACTTGACCGAGAGAGTTCCCACCAACGCAGAAGCGGTGGGATCGGAGGAAGCCGGAATATAAATTTGTTCTGAACACTCCCTTAGTCAGAAGGCCAGGTCGGTGACAATGGGGATCGTGGGATCAGCGGGATGCAGGAGCGCAGGACGCAGGGAAAAGTCGAGTGAGGACTGGGGGCTGCTAGCTTTCTGCTCCTCACACAGCAAAGCAAGTCCTGCAGATGAATCGCTCCTTCCCTGTCTGTCTTCCCCATTAATGATCCATTTCGAGATTAGCGCAGACGAAGGGAATTAAAACAACAGATACATGCAAATGTGAAATAATATTGCAATCGACATCGGAGGGAGAAAAACAATTCTTTAGGGTTTTTCTGTGTAAAACAAACTGCCTCCCTCAGAATTCCCTCCACCCAGGCAGGGTGAGAAGATGCACTTTTGTTTTCCAATTCCCTCCAGCCAGGACCTGGTGCCTGTCCCTCCATTCACCTTTCTGTCTGTCAATTTCCTCAACTTTCACAGCCGCTTCCCTCCTGCCCTGCCCCCAGCTCGCTTCCCAGCCCAGATGCCCGAAGAGATACAATGTTTCTGCCCTTGAACACACAGGCTGTAGAAGGAATTCGAATTTGGCCACAGCTAATGATTTTTTTTTTAAAGCAAATTCTGTTTATTTTGTACCATGTGGAGAAAATAAAAAAAAGAAATCTTTTCTCGTTTTGAAGCGGAATTGATCTTTCATCTAGAAGAATGATTTCGACCCTGTGTTGTTACACAGGAGGTGGGCAACTTCTTTTAGAGTTGCAAGCAAAGGGTGATAAGGGGGACCCCTGGATTGGGGGTGTGTGGAGGGGGTGAGGGGCGGCAGGGGTCCAAGGCAAGCCAAACGGTTTTCTCACGTGCAAACTCGCAATCCAATCCATTCGGAGTTGAGCCTGGGATAGGAGGGGAAAGTCTATTAAGAAAAAAAATTCAGGAGCATCTCTCTGAGAAGCCGGTTCAAACAAAATCAAAACAGGACCAGAGAACCTCAGACCGTCCCTAACATCCCTGCTGCGAGGCCCGCGGGCTGTGGAATCTCGCATGTCACCTGGCCCCAGCAGGGCGGCCAGCTGAGGGGTTCGTTTTATTTTATTTTATTTTATTTTTTGAGGTTAAGGCTCAATCTCGTCTTCAGTGCTTTTGCCAACGTCTCCATTGACAGGAACCAGCAAACTTCAGGACTCAAATGAGCGTCTTAATTTATTGATGCAAAACAGGTCTGCTTGTCGCCCCCAATTCTCGGCGCGCTCTGTCCCCCACGCCCCCAGCTTCGGTCCCTCCATTTGATCTCAGGGTAAGGCCCCGCCGCACAGGCGGGGGAGCACGTTGGTGTGTGTGTGGGGGGGTCGGCCCCCGTTCGCCAACCCTCCCCCAGACCCGTCCCAGCCCGGGAACCCCGCGACCCCCGCCCCGCCGGCCGGTCAGCTGACCTGGCTCGCTCTCCTGCTCCCCGCCCGCCGCCCTGTTTCCGGTCCCCCGGGTCCGCGAGCTGCGCACTGAGAGGGAGCGGCCGCGGCCGGGAGGTGATGCTGGGGGCTGATTACCATGAGAAAGGCTGTGCCTGGAAAAGCCTCCTCCACGCGACTGTCAATCTCACTAAGGGGATGGGGGGCGGGGGGGTGGGGACGGAAAGGGGCCCTGTAGGAGTCACCAGAAAACTTGGAGTAAGTTGGATGCGACGCAGGCCCGAGGAGGTGGCTTTCGCCTCAACTTGGAAGGCTGTGGCGTTCAGGGCGCGGACGCCAGCAGCCTCCCCAGGGAGTTGAAAACCAAAATCTTTCCTTTCCTCCCTTCCTCCCTCCCTCCCTCTTGCCCTCCTTTCAGCCCTTCCTGCCCTTTATCCTTATTTTCTTGAAATTCTTTCCCAATTGCATTTCCTACGTTCTCCTTTCTTCCTATCTGATATCTCCCTTTTGCAATCTCTTGTTTCTTAACATCCCGTCTTCTCCCTCGCTGTGATTCTTTTCTGCCTCTTTCATCTGTCCAGATTTATCATTTCGTTTTAAAAACGTTTAATATGTAATTAATCTACCAGCAGGAGGTCAGGGACACCCTGACTAAAATAACTCCCTGGGTCATCAGAGACCAAGTCACCAGGTGTCAGTGAAAAGTAAAAAACAAAATAATAATAATAAAAATAAATCGAAATCAATATGTCAGTAATCATAATGGCTTATTCTGAATTGCTATATCAGCTCAAACTGACTTTTCTTTTTCAAATATAATCTTCCTGGAAATAATGGATAGTCCTTCGTATAGGGAAATTCTTTAGAATTAAGGCAATGTGAAAAAATTTCTCATTTGTAGTGATATTTTAGCAGTCCTTAACAGACTTTAGAAATTACAGTAGGTGATTTAAAGAAACTTAAACTGTGCTTTTTCTTTTAATGACTACTTGGAAAGTGTAAAAAATACCAAAGCACCTCCCACCCACAACAAAGATTGATCAATTCAGAGAGAAACATCATGTCCTGTATGTTGTACATGCCAAGCAAATTCACAACTTGAGTTGGGTTGTTTTCTTAGCCTGGTTGCCTCATTCACCTGGCAGGTGAGTGAACATGGGGCTGCATACGTCATGAATGTGGCTATATTTTTTGTTTTCCGTACTTTTTTTTGCCTTGCATTCATTTTGGGCACATTTGTTGTTCTCTTATTAAAATTCAGAGTTTGCACTTGTTTACAATTTGTTTAGTTTGTCGAATTTTTAAAACTAGTTAGAAGTCAATTGAACATGTATATTAAGCCCTTTTTAGGCCAAGAAAAATAAAGATGCATTAGAAAGATGCCTTTTATGCTTCATAATTATTAATTGACATTTTATGATGAATAATTAATCATTTGAATAATTTTGGTATCTCTGATCTGAACACATATTTGCATATCTAATGCTTGATTTCAACTGTGTTTTTTAAAAAAATTCATTCTCAGGATGGAGAAACAAGGTAACATTTTAATGTAAAATTTCTCTTTAGCACTTGTAAAAGTTTATTTATTGAGTTGTACTATTCTTGCTAGATATTCATAAAACTTCTTAACAATTTGTAAACCATTTCTGTAGCAATCACATACAAACATGTGACAAAACCACAATTAATTAGGAAAAACAATACCCTATGTAAAATCAAGTCACTCTCCTCCCCAAATACAGAGATGTGCACTAATTATGCACCATATTTTCTTATTGGAATTTGGTCATTGAATTTTTTACTTACGTCTATTTATACATGTCAAAAAGTGGAAAATTGAGACAATTGGCAAATAATTCAGACCTGGTATTTAACGTAATTTTTCATTTTTTACTTATTAATATATAGACTGATTTAAAGTTATTTAAAAATGATTAAGCAAGCATATCCCTGATATTTTTATACCCCTATGTCAGTTATTAAAGTCCCAAGTATCTATTTTGAATACTAGCCCTACAGATTACTAACTGTGTGATTACAGGCAATTTACTCTAAGCTTGTTCCCTTGTCTACAATGTGAATACACTAATGGTGCCCATTCCTTAGTGTTTTATTGAAAATTAAATGAAGTAATGCATGAAACTTCACTTTGGTGTAGCTTTATTTTTATACCGAAAGGTTGAAAAAATAACATGGAATGAGCAGATCAATTAAAGACAGTATAAATTAATTTTGACTACTAAAAACAGCTATTTACTTTTTAGTATCATTCATAATTTTTCTATTGAGAAATGAGTGCTGTGTCATTAGGTAAAGAAATAAAATGAAAAGCATCCTAGGATTTATGGTTAATTTACGATTCTTTAGACCTTTGCAAAGGATGCATAGCCACAGACGTGAAAATAAGTACAGTATTTCTTTATCCTGTTAGTTTGGCAATTAATTTATTGTATTCAATATGGTCATAATTTGGTTACAAATATCAGACTTCTTTTAGTCCAAGTGTATGTCCTTGAAGTTTTTCATGTTCTTTGGCAACATATTGCCTTTGAGTGTAAGGGTTAAATGTGCAAAAGCTCAGAAGCGGTCTTGAGTAAGACTTGTGAGGGAAAAAAAGAGCAAACTTACAAATTTGGAGACCAGGAATTTGGCTGTCAGAGCACTGTTTGCTGTAAGACCATTCATAATGAACTGAGCATTCCCTCTTGGAATTGAAGTTATCCTGGGGTTTGCGCTAATTCCACGTACCTATAGTGGAGGAGAAAATCAGTTTATCAAATGGAAAATGAAATTCCCTGGTCTCTTAAATGTCCACAAGGCCGGGTTTTCTTTTTGATGCAAAAGCTGAAAAATCAATGCAAATGCCAGGGGAAAAAACTATCGCTATATTTAATCCCAGTACTGATGGCTTTTTGTTGTTGTTTTCTTTAAGACTCCACAAAACACTTAAAGGGTCCCTTAATTGTTTCCTTTCTCAAAGGATCCATTCCATGCTCCTTGCAGGTCAGAACTACCAAAAGGGCCATTTGGACATCAGCCTAGGGGCTCGGAGTGACCTGTACCTTTTTCTCTTTTCTTTTCTAAACAGAAATGGGACTAGAAATCGTTTGCACCTACAGATTATCTAGTGACCTGGAAATAATCCGTGCTGCTTTGTGGTCATCTTTAATAGTTCTTATTCTGTTAAATGGTCAAAATTATAAACTTTTTACTCAATTCTAATTTTGCACCATTCTAAAAGTGATTTTTTTTTTTTTGCAGAGTTGTTTTAGGTACTTAAATGTAAAAATCTTACTCTCAAAAATTGTCATCTCTTCATGATAATTCCAATTGTGAAATAACAATAGCTAAGAAAAAAAACCCTGCTTCTCTAGCCCTGGTAGTGTTAGATGTGGCCTAGAGAGAATCGATGACTTTCCCTAGAATTCAAGTGTTTGGTTCTTTGAGGGCTCTTGAATCTGCCAGGTTTACCCTCGCAGTCAACACCATGTACATGTGACATGCAACATCTCCTCACCTCTCAGGACACCCTTCTGAACCACTTCTGCCCACGCACTCTGCACACCGCATTGTGACCCACTTCCAATCCTCCTGGATGATTCAGTTAGCTCTTGTGTTTCCATGTGTGGCTTATATTTGCCTTTTGGACCTAATACTTGGGCTCATTTTTCCAGTTACAATATTGGCTCAGGTCGAATACTCAGGTCGAATGCTCTCTCTGGCTTTTTGCCTCTGGCTTCCCAGATAAAGCGTGTTTCCTAGTTCAGTCTTCTCTCCAGGACCCTGACTTGGAAAATCTCCCCTGGGCAGGTTCCTGCTACCTCACCCTGGCCTCAGTGTTGGGCCCAAGCATAGGAGAAGTTAGTGATGAAGACGAGATCATGATACAGGCATATCTGGGAATTGTTTTTATTTCTTATACAATTCCTTTTATCTCTTGTTGACTGGGAACTGGACATCAGTGTATTCGATACTAGATTCTTCATATTCTTCTCAATGATAGCATATTATGGTGGGAAAGATATAGGTTTTGCAATTAGATGAACTGGATTTGACATCCTGCTTTGTGAGTACTAATTGTGTATTGAGGACAAGATATGAAACCCCTGTGAACTTCATTTTAAAGAAGAGCAAAAGAGTACTTAAAGATAAGCTGGTTGTGGTGAAAAAATATGACAATATATGTAAAATGTCTGGTATAGGATAGGCATATCAGTAAATAGAAATTCCTTCCCGTGAATTACCAAAAATAATATATGAATTATATTAAATTATAGAAAACCATATAGAGTGGATGTAGCATATGTTTTAGGGGATATTTATTTTATTTTAAATTATTTTATTGTTATTTATTTAATTATTTTACAATTTTATTAGGAATTATTTAGCTGATTCTTGCATTATACAAAAATTAATGCTTACTGATAACCAAGTTAGAAAAGTAACGTGGAATTTCTCAGTTCGTAGTAGAAAAGGTAGGGTGTTGATGATATACTAAGCATCATGATACTAATCTCTGAGATGAATAAATATACTTTACAATTTGATTATATATTTCACACTTCCATTTACAATTGTAAGGAAAAAATATTTTTCCACATAATTCTCCCTATATGACCTGGCATAGGAGGAAGCACTCTTGCAGTCAGCTTAGTGTGGTCAAGAAGTTCAAAGATTCTACTTGTTCAAGGTAAAACGAAGAGGGTCTTAACACTGTTCAAAACTCTTTACCTACTTTTACCAAAACTTCAGAGGCATGGAGGAATTGGGGAGGGGGTAGAAGGGATGGACTAGCACTGAAAAATTTGCCTGCATTATCTTTTTGCCACCCCCCAGCTGAAGCATCTGCGTAAACACACAAGAGGTAAGAATATGTATATAGTAC